ATCAGCCAAACAAGTCAAACCAAACACCAGGGCCTTTCTAGAAGAAACCTGACATGGAACCATGGAAGGGGAGATGCGATCACAGCAGAGAATGAGCACAGAGTACCTTCTAGTAGCATGTCCATACAAGTGCATTGGCAATGTGGATGTAGGAATATTTGTTCCAAAGAACTCCCAAGCTCATGAAGTTCCAGCTTCTCCCACATATTATTGAATTAGGAATAGTGATGTGGAAATGAGTAAATATCAGAAAAACTGTCATACCTGATGTCTGTAAATCTCTTCTACTCTTTTGCTTCGTTGTATTTGTCCTAAAAAAAAAAAAAAAAAAAAAAAGTAGTTCAGTAAAAAAACATGCCATTGCCAATAAACTCAGGAAAAAATTTTACCCTAGTAATATCATTATGTATCAGGGTCAGTATTAAATAGGTGCAATTTTAATTTTTCTGTCCATAGTAGAAACATGCATTACTATTAACTGACATAGTAAGCCTTGTTTTGAAGCTCAGGCACAATAACATAGATATTGAAATGTTATAGACTGCATTTACGTATGACACATCTGAACACAGCACACAACTGAACACATCACTTCTGCCTAGATGTAGCTTAAGAAGTGATTATGTTGAAGTCTTGTTCTTTGTTGTTGTGCAGATGCTCATCTAAGTGAAAGTTTCCATTTCCTTCTGCCATGTAACTTTTCACAGAATCACAGAATGTTAGAGGTTGGAAGGGACCCTCCAGAGATCATCAAGTCCAACCCCCCTGCCACAGCAGGACCATCTAGTCTAGGGCAGGTCACACAGGAACACATCCAGACGGGTCTTAAAAGTCTCCAAGGAAGGAGACTTCACAACCTCCCAGTGGAGCCTGTTCCAGTGCTCTGGAACCCTTACAGTAAAGAAGTTCTTCCTCATGTTGAGGTGGAACTTCCTGTGCTCCAGCTTGTGTCCATCGCTCTGTGTCCTATCGCAGGGCCGAAGTGAGAAGAGGTTGCCCCTTCCTTCCTGACACCCAGCCCTCATATATTTATACACATTAATTAGATCCCCCTTAGTCTTCTCTTCTCCAGACTAAAAAGCCCCAGGTCCCTCAGCCTCTCCTCATAAGGCAGGTGTTCCAGTCCCCCAGTCACCCTCATAGCCCTTCACTGGACTCTCTCGAGTAGATCTCTGTCCCTCTTGAAATGGGAAGCACAGAACTGGACACACTACCTGGTGAAGTCTCACCAGGGCAGAGTAGAGGGGAAGGAGGACCTCCCTTGTTCTGCTGGACACACTTTTCTTAATGCTTCAAACTAGCTTTGGAGGGGGAAGGGGTTAACACCAGGCTCATGAGAGATGTGCCTGAGGACAGTCTGCAGCCTACTGTCTCACTTGAGGTGGACAATGACAAGAAGACAGGACTCACTAGCAAGTTAGTAACCATGGTACTTGCCAGAAATTGTCAGAGAGCAAAAGTGAAAACTGGTGGGTTAACTCCCTCTCTGAAATGCTTATGTGGGTTAGAATTAAGAGACATGAGAACGGGGGTGACGCTGTTGTGGAAGTCTACTATACACCACCAAACCAAGAAGAAGATGTTGATAAGGCCTTCTACAGACAGCTGGAGGTAGCCTCTAGAACACACTCCTTGGTACTCATGGGAGACTTGAATCACCCTGACTCCCACACAGTTAGGCATGTTCAGTCAAAAAGGCTCTTGCAGTTCATTGATGATAACTTCTTAATGCAGGTAGTAGAGGAACCAACGAGAAGAGGCACACTGCTAGACCTTGTATTAACAAATAAAGAAGGGCTGGCTGGGGACATTAAGGTTGGGAATAGCCTTGGTGACGGTGACCACGACATGGTGGAGTTTAGTATTTTACAAGGTAGAAGCAGGACAACAAGTAAGATTATAACCCTGGACTTCCAGGGGCTAACTTTTCACTTTTCAAAGATCTACTTGTGGGAATCCCATGGGCTAAGACTCTGGAGGGTAAAGGCGCCCAAGAAAGCTGGTTGGTTTTTAAATACCACTTCCTCCAAGCCCAAGGTAGGTGTGTTCCCTTGCGTAAGAAATCAGGTCGGTGGGCTAAAGAGACCTGCATGGATGAACAGGGAGCTTCTGAAAGAAACTTTTGCTTGCTTAGTTTGTCCAACACCACTGACATAAAATCTGCTCCTTTTCTGCACAAGCCAGGATGGATATGATTGTGAAGGAGGTACAGAAAAGAGAGATTTCTGGTGCCAGGACATGTTGCTGATTTGGGGCAGAAAGGAAACACTAAGCCTGCCCCACCCTATATGATTCCCTCATATACTGTGTCTAAATCAGAGCTGCCCGTATGCAGAGCCTTCAGCATTCATGGAGACCCCTAGCACTGAAATCACTGAACATTCATGCACTTCTGCTTGATTGCCCATCTTTGTCAACCCAGGGGGTGGGAGAGTGGGCAGGAGGAATGGTCTTTCAAGAGCCTCTAAACATCTGAGAAACCAAAGTCTGGAAACCCCACCCTGTATTCTGCATCTTCCTAAGCCGTTAAAGCACTAGGATAATCACAGTAATCCTCAGAAGGTATTAAATAATATATTTTTTAAGGACAAAAAGATGACACATTTTACTTTTCAAAGTCAGCAGCAGAAACTAAGTCTATTAGATTTGTTTTCCAGTCATAACTACCCATTTTTCCTCTTTTATGTACTTTTGCTCTTCTTTCTATCCAGATCTACAAAGATCTACATTCTTTGACTGCATGGTGTTCTCTTGCCTGGTTGGTTTCATGGAGCTCTGATAGACTCTCTCTTTCCTTCCACTGTCTTCTGTGCGACCCACTGTAGCTGAGAAGGGAACTTGGCTGGAGGAGGTTTGTTTAGTAACTTCTCCCTTTGTTTTGTGGACATCTTGTGGGTCATCCCTCTTGAAGGAAAAAGGAAAGATATATAGTAGCAACTGGCATAAGAAAGAGCTCTGCAGAGAGCTGATCAACACAACTGGAACTTTGCAATAATTTCCTAATATAGTAGTCCCCTATGTACTGCATATTCTGCTATGAAGTGGTGTCAGACAGACCATCCATAGGAAATGTGATGTATTTATCTAGAAGAGTGACCACTGTTTCTCCTAAATTATGAATTTGTTGGCGATTATTGGCCTACAGCTTTGGCTAGAGGTGACTATGGAGTCCACCAAGGGATAACAGGTTCCAAAGCTTAACTTCTCAAAGCTGTTTGTAGCTTTGCCTCCAGGTCCTCTGCTTCTGATTCATGTCCAAGACTTCTTTATCTCCATGTTATTCTCCTCTTTTTGAGCGTATTCAAAAGATGAGATAAGATCTTTGCTCTCCCTCCTGTCCAGATTCCAAGATTGGTCCCTATTAAAACCTAAGTCTCCTGCTTTCAAGTTGCTGAGGTAGAGATACCTGTCTTGTTGTTGTTTTTTTTTTTTTTTTTTTTTTTTTCCCAGTCAGCTTACTATCTAAATAGGAAGAGATGGAATAATGCAAAGGAAAGTCCAAACTTAAAAACTATCAGTAAAAAAGTCAATAGTGAGTGACAGCCAACATCTCAAGGTATTGAAATACTGATGAATGCATGACTGGAAAAATGTCTTTTCTGCAAAGAAAAATAGAATTTCTGCATCTGAATCATTATTTTAGGATATTGAAATGCTGCTAACATCTGCTGTATAGACAGGAGCTGACATTCATGCCAGGTCCAGAAGTTGGTACAAGGATCTAGTCTTTGATCCTAGATAAGAAAGAAAGCAGAAAAGAAGAAAGGTGGCTATGTGGGGATAGCTGAAGCAGGAAAATATCAATTAAGAAATTTTATAAATCACATACTTTCTCTTAACAACCTGTGCATGCTTGATTTGAAAGCCAAATCTATGTCCTATAGTATATTCAGATTAGATTTGCAGAAAGTAATTTTTCCCCTAATTTTCTTCAGTCATCCCTTTTGTCACTGATTTTTCTTGAAAGAGGTGTCTCTCACAGTTTTCTCTCTCTAAAATTATATTTTTCTAGTTCCCTTGTAATTTTTCTTCTGTATGGACACAGACTTGTTCCTTCACTCTGTTATCCATGGCCAGGGAGAGGATGGGAGCTCCTGACTGCAGAGGAAAGATGTACGTGCAGCACTAAGCCCTGGACATGTGGTTGTGTTTATTTCTCCATGTGGATGCTTGGCTGAGAGCTAACTTGGCCTGAGTGGGAACTAAAGACCCACCAATGCCTGTGCTGACAAAATGTTGATTGCTTGGAACTTAAGGGAAATAAATTTAGATAATGCTGAGTGGCATCATTAACCATCCAAGTTTCTTCCTAAGTGTGACGGAGATAACATCCTTTATGTGCTTTAGTGAAATTTCTCTATGAGGTATTCTCTTTAGGACCTCATGAAGCATTTTTGCTGACTCTCACCATTCTCCTTGTTCCTCCCTTAGCTACAGCAAACAGCTGCCTTCTGTCTGTCTGGCTGCCTGTCCTAGCATTTCCCTCAAGAACTTTTGCTTTCTGTCCTTTGCATGGATGAAATGCCTTTGCCCTCTTTGCTTATTAGTTGCCAGTCCCTGCATGGGTCTCAGCTATGCCATGTCTTTTCTTCTCTTTTTTTCTGTAAGTTGTGCAATTGAGTCAAAAAGAGCCATTTAAGAACATAACCTCAACTCTTAGGGAAAACTAAACACTCAACAGTAAGTGGCATGCTATTTATTGATTTACAAAAATTTATCAGCCCTATGGTGCACCTAGCACCCTCACTCCTATTACCCTGAAATTCTGCAGGGAGTTTACAACAAGCCAGCCATTTTGATAAACAGAGCTGTAGTTCCTTCAAAACACACACTAACTTTGACTTGAGAGGCACTAAAGAATATTTGTGCAAGCGCAACTTTTCAATTAGTCATCTTGAACTTTTGATGTCTTTTCACTGAAGACTCACATTTTTTGGTGGGTTGTTTGTCCTGGGATCTTTCTTGTGATAAATGCCAAAATCCTTGCAGTTTATACTCACTTGGGTATTTTCTGGGGGGTTCAGGTGAGAGAGGAGCTGCAGCCACATGTGGAATAGCTGTTCTTTCTTGTCTGGTGGAGCACAGAGCTCTAGGTAATAGCAACGGCCATTTACTAATCTTAACATGAAGTGATGCATCTCTGTGCTGTGGACAGACAGTTCCACAAACTTCAAGGGGAATAACCTATTAAAAAAAAGTGAAACTCAGTAAGCACAAGTAGAGATTCCTCTCAGATGATATTGTGTCTGCCAAACCTATAGATAGAATAAGAATAAAAGTGAGAAACCAGAATAGGAAGAAGCTGCTGAGTGGATTTGGACACTCATCTTCTGAGTGCCTCTAGCTGATTGTGGAAGAAATGCTGGGCACCAGTGCACAGAATGGAGGCAAAGGAAGTTGACTTCTTTCCAACTGTCTTGTTCCCAGATAATTCTGAACCCCCAATATTCCTGCCAGCTTTCATCTTATATATTTAGAAAAAGGTTTATTAAGTACCCGTGGTCATCATCTGTCTATGCATGTGTTGGCTTGAAATGATGACTGGAGTGAGACCTAAACTTAAGCATAATTTTATGGTGTTAGTTCTGGGACAAAAAGCCAGTGCAAATATGAGGTCTGTTAATAAACTGAGCCTTAAAAGAAGAAAAACACTGTATGGAAATGGGAAATACATTCATATTTCTTATTTACTCTTAAGAGAAGTATTTGTATTTTCTCAGTGCTAACTCACCTGGTAAGTATTAGCTCTTCTATGTGGGATGGCTCCTCTGAGAGTTTCCATAAATTTGCCATACTTTCTTGGGGTGACACGGATGTCTCACATGCTATCAGCATCGTATCAGGCATTGGTAAATTGGGATTGGCAGCACAAATAGCAATGGTCACACAGCAGGGTCGGTTATGGACAGAAACTGGGTCGCCTCTTCGGTTTATCTGAACAAAAAACCCAACAAGTCCCATCAACACTGACATTTGCATATGGTCTGTTAGAGAATACACCACCAAAACATTCAATGGTGTTCTGGCTTGGAGGCACTAGTGTTTATGTACTGGGATGGTGAGGTGAGAGGGGAATGTAGATTAATGAGACAGGAATGTGTATGAATTAAAGGAAAGAATAGGAGTTGATTAGGGATAAAGGATGAGGGGAAATCACTGGCTCTTGTGTGGTTCAAATTGAATATCTGATTGCTGTGGTCAGAAACCTCTTGAGTACCATTATCTTGAATTTCTCTTCTTGTAAACATGATGGAAGAGGCACTCTGGTCTGATGAGTCTCTGGTTTTGTCAATATTAATGTGTTATTAATGAGACACGGTTATGAACCAGGATCCTGCTAGGTGCTGGACAAACACTGAATGGAAAAAACCCCAGGTAATTTATGCATAAGACATGAAATTACAGAAAGAGAAAAATGAGAAAATATGAGGAGATAAGAATAAACTGATAAGTAAGCTCAAGTCACATGTTATTGACCATTTTCAGGGTTTGGTTTTGCACCAGAGAAAAAGAAATGTGTCCTGAGCAGAAATATGAGGCAGGACAGTGCATTAAATTTGCAGATATGTAGTAAAGTCTCCAAAGTATGAGGGACAGTACATAAAAAGATCAAAGGTGGTGCTTGTTTGGTGGTCTTTTTTTTTTTTTTTTCATTTTAATGCAAATGAGTCAGTGATGGAGCTCCTTTCTTGGGTTGATTGCTTAGACCAGCTGCCTCCTTGATAGCAAATGAGGTCTGATAAATAAAGCAGGGATAATTCATAAAGAGCCTTAGAAAATGGAGACATAGCTAATTAACATTCTGCATGTATATCAACAATGAAAGATCAAATTAATCAAAGCAAGACCAAAGGATGTTGCAATTATCACAAACTGAGATAATCAAACCCTATGAAAAACAGTGCTGAGATACACCATGTAAATAGAATTCAGATGTTTTAGGCACACTGTGAATGCAGTATTGTAGGAGCACAGACTGTTGCCAGAGTCTTGCAAGCTTCTTTGGCTGTTGCTTAAGGTGTGTGACAGACAGGGTAGTCATACTGCCTGCAAGAATACTAGAAGTTGCAAGTGGGGTGAGAGAGCCTGGGAAAGGCCGGCTGCTATTTAGGCTAGCTTGAACTGACACTGATGGCTAAAATATTAATGATGTAGCACAGAACCAGAAATCTGCTAGAACAGTCCTACCTGTTGCTACAGGAAGGAGTAGGGGCTGACAAGGAAAGGTAAGAACATCACTCTTTGTCCTCTTCTAATTTGCAGCACTGCTGTTCCTGGATTTCTGCACTATTGCCTTTAAAGCATAAGCAGAATGAGGCTATAGGAGAAGGGAAACATATCCATAGGTGTGTAGTAAACAGAGAATAAGAATAGTAAGAATAAATGATTGCGGGATACCTATTGAGCTGAGGGAGAAAAAAAAACGGTAATCATTGCAAGCCATTTTATCTTCCACATACCAAATGGTTTCATCTGAGTGACTTTTTACCTGGACAAACTTGCTCTCTAAGATGGGAGGTGAGGTAAAAGGAGCATATTCTCCCTTTCCGAGAAGCCTCTGAAGGTCATCCATAATGGGCATCTAACTTGAACTGATGCTTTTAGAATCAAACTTCATATTCATTTAGCCTGTCCACAAGAGAAAAATAAATGTGCAAGTTAGAGGGAAAGCCTTATATTTTAATACCCCCTGGTGATTATGAAAAGAAACAAATATAATCCTTCTTGGTAGCCTTTATTGTACTACTGAAGAGCAGAACCTCTCTCCCCAAATCACATTTTTAAGAATATACAATCTCAAGTGCAAAGGGGGACTTACTAAAGCTTTCTCACAGCTCTTGACTCCTCTTTTAGTATTTAAGGAAAAAGGGACTATGAATCTTTAAACACTGCTTTTTACATGCTATTCTATACTTCAGTATGTCCTTCTTGTTTCATAAGTTATCTTGTACATTATTGCCACTGGTAAGATTTTTTTTTTAAATTGATGTATTTTTTACATGAAGTATAATAACATACTGGAAATAACAGTAGGCCCTGCGCCCGATCTGGTGGAGGCGTGAACACTCCAGCGGTGACTCACGGTGCCCGCACCCCTCCCTAGCAACCAAACTGGGCGGGTCCCGAACCTGTGCGGGCGCAACCAGCATCTCCCGCCACTGATCAGGTGATAAGAACCCTCTGGGAGGGTCGCTGCCCACAGGGCGGGCAACCGGTGCTGGCTTGTGCGCGCTCGGCGGCTGTTCGCAGCTCGCAGGGCAGGGCCGGGGGAGCAGGGAGCGTGGGCAGCAGCACACGCTGCTTGGTTCCCTCCCCACCGGAGAGAAGACCGCGGTCGCAACACGGCCAAAAGCCGCAGTGGGGAAGACTGTGGGGACTCAGACCGAGGTCCTGCACAAACAGGCAGCGGTGCGGGTCTGGGGATGCGGCGAGTGCCTGAGCCTGGCTCTTGAAGCAGAGGGAGTCAGACACGGCTTGTGTGCGGTGTGATCAAATAAACCCCTTGCTCAGGCAGGCGGCTGAACTGAGAGGAGGTAGAAAGATTGAGAAGGATCAGAGTGTGAAAGTGAGATAGGTGAGACAGCGCTAAGGAGCCACACTCTGAGGCAACGGCAGCAGGAAGAGGCTCTACAAGAAGTGGAGGACCCCCTCCCCTCCTGTCCCCAGATGGACAGTGGGGGTATAAGAGACAATGGGAAATGGAGAGAGGTCCCTCCTCGGAGGGGCGGGCAAAAACCTTTTCGGCCCCCCTCACCTTCCCATTTGACTTTGTACAATAGGTATGGGGCTTTGGAACCTGAAGGTCGGCCAAATGAATATGGGAGTGGGGATCCATCCAGTAAATCACCCACCCCTACCTCTTACGACGACTTGTATTAAGAAGAAAAGGAGGGTAATTGTAGTGAGTGACTCTCTTTCTGAGGGGAACAGAAGGGCCCTTTTGTTGACAAGACCCATTCCACAGGGAGGTCTGCTGCCTCCCTGGGGGTTTGGGTTAGAGATATTAAAAGGAAAGTCACTGCCCTGATGCAGCCCTCTAATTATTACCCATTGTTAGTTGTTCAGGCAGGTCATCATGAGGCTGTACAGGGAAGTCTAAAGTCACTCAGAAAGGACTTCAGGGCACTGGGGTGAGACTTAAGGCCTATTGGTGCACTCAAGGCCCTGGCCTGAGTGTTAATGAGTCAATTTAAAATGCAGCTTGTATTCATCTATCTTACTCTGGTTTGTAAGTTTTAGCTTCCCTCTCTACCTTCTTTTGCCAGAGTAACCTTTTCGACGCGCCAGGTGATGCCATAATCAACCTGTGACATGGCTGGAAAGCTCTGGGGATGTACACAGCCTCCCTTGCTTAGATAGGGCCCACCATAGGACAGCTTCTGGACTGCCTGATAATACTATGCACTGACACAGCAATGCCCAGCAAGACAAGAAGATACTCCTACACAACATATATTGAGTTTTATCCGGGGCAGGGAGGTGGAACAGGTTGAAAGCTTGTGGGTAAGAAGTAAGGGACATGCAAAGGGGTTGAAACTGTTGTGGGTGTCTACTGTAGACCACTAAACCAAGAAGATGATGTTGATGAGGCCTTCTAGAGACAACGGGAGGTAGCCTCTAGAACACACTCCTGGGTGACTTTAATCACCCTGGTATTTGTTGGAAGGCCCACAGTTAGGCATGTTCAGTCAAAAAGGCTTTTGCAGTGCATCAGTGATAATTTATTAATGCAGGTAGTGGAGAAACCAACGAGAAGAGGAGCACTGCTGGATGTTGTATTAACAAATAAAGAAGGGCTGGCTGGGGACATTAAGGTTGGGAATAGCCTTGGTGACGGTGACCACAACATGGTGGATTTAGTACTTTATAAGGCAGAGGTAGAGCAATGAATAGGACTACAACCCTGGACTTTGTCAGGGCTAACTTTGCACTCTTCAAAGACCTACTTGCAGGAATCCCATGGGCTAAGACTCTGGAGGGCAAAGGGGCCCAAGAAAGTTCATGAGTTTTTAAATACCATTTCCTCCAAGCCCAACATAGGTGCATTCCCTTGAGTAAAATGTCAGGTAGACGAGCTAAGAGACCTGCATGGATGAGCAGGGAGCTTCTGAAGGAAATCTCATGGAAGAAAGAAGTGGATAGCTCATGTAAGAAGGGACTTGTCACTTGGGAGAAATGTAGGGAGGTAGTCAGGACATGTAGGAAGGCAGTAAAGAATGCAAAAGGCCTCTTAGAACTAAAACTAGCATAGGAAATGAAAGAGCACAAAAAGGGCTTTTTCAAGTAAATCAGGGAAGTGTGGGCCCACTGCTGAGGCACAGCCCTGACCACTGAGGGTGCAGAGAAGGCAGAGCTGCTGATGCCTTCTTTCCTTCAGTCTTTAACCCTGAGGCCAGCCCTTGTGAACTCCAGACCCTAGATGTAGGAGAGGAAGCCTGGAGGAGGGAAGACTCTCTTCTCTCTCAGTCTCTCAGTGGAGACTGGGTTAGTGATCAGTTAATAAAATTGAATATACATAAATCTGTGGGACCTGATGAGATGCATGCAAGAGTATTGAGAGAACTGGCTGACACTGTCACTCTACCAGTATCCATCATTTTTGCTACATCGTGGCAAACAGGAGAGGTACCCGAGGACTGGAGGAAAACCAGTGTCACTCCAGTCTTCAAAAAGGGCAAGAAGGAAGATCAGAGAAACTACAGACCAGTCAGCCTCACCTCCATCCCTGGAAAAATGATGGAGGGGCTCCTTCTGGAGGTCATCTCTAAGCACATGGGAGAGAAGAAGGTTCTCAGGAGCATGGATTTACCAAGGGGAAGTCAT